TAATACATTTAAATATTATTTATTCAATAAGTACATATATACATACATACACACACATCATCATCATCATCATCATGAGATTGCAGAAATTAAAATATAAACAAGCCAGATGTGGCAGCTCAGTCCTGAAATCCCAGCACTTGAAAAATTGAAACATGATGAATGCCAAGAGTTCAAAGCCAGCTTGGGAACAGAGTAAGAGCCTGTTTCAAAATCCAAAGTAATTATAAAACTATGCTGAACATGTAACAGAATGCAGAGGATCCTACAGATTCCCAGAGGATGTGAAACTCAAGTAGTTCTGCTGGACAGGAATCGTCCAGGCAGAGTGAGGAATAGGAAGAGAAAGCCTGAAGCCAAGGCAAAAAACAAAACAACAGTACTGTTTTTCCAAACTGTGAAACACAGCCTGTATTTCAATTAGGGGCTAGATGACCAGAGATAGACTTTCTGTCTCTGTACTTAATAATTATTAATTATGCCACACAAAGAGCTTGGGATTTTACCATAAACACAAAGGGGAATCCTTGAAGGAGTTACAAACAGGCCATGTGTAGATACACATTTAAAAAGTATTTCTAAGTCAAGTCTGAATAGGGGAGGGTAGAAAAGAGCCATATAAAGTGGAACACTACTGTAATAATTATCTGATAAAGAAATGAGGCTAGAGGCAAGTAAATAGTGAGATAGTAAACAAAGGCTTACATAGGAAAAAGCACTTACATAACGCAAAAGTGACCATATCCCCTACTTGAACAGGGCCATGTTTCTGCCTGACTCTCTTGGAGTGGCTATTACTAGTGCCCACTTTGCTCATGGAAAGATCAGGGTGACATTATATTGCTTTACCTTTGAAATTCAGTAGTCCAGTAGGCAGTAAAGCCTTTAGATGAACTCTGGAAGGAAGGCAGAGGAGAAGGCTCTATGTGCTGAGAGTTAAGTCAGGACCATGATTTTGTGTGCTGTTTGCTTGCTTTCTTCAAGGTGATCTAAATACAAGCATCTTTCTACAGATATAAACTGAAAGTACAGGTAGGCAGAATGATCTATATAGAATACAGAGCATAAAAAAGATTAAAAAAAAAGGGGGGGGAACACAAGTGATTAAAGGACAGATAAAAAGAAGACCCTACAAGAGGCAATAAGGAAGACAACCAGAGGTATACCAAGGACAAAATGATCCCACAGAAGCCAAAACAAGAGTTCTAGTCAAAAGGAGACAACCAATGTAAAGTATTTCTAGAAATCACTATTTAAAAACTGTTCACCATTGGTGGTACGCACCTTTAGTCCTACTTACTTGGGAAGATGAGGTGGGAAGATTATTTGAACCAAGTAGTTCAAAGCCATCTTAGGCAACATGGTGAGATTCCATCTTTCCCTCTTTTTTAAACAAACAAACAAACAAACAAACAAACAAAAAAAATAGGGTCTCTCTGTGTAAAGAACTTGATATGTAGACCAGGCTGGCCTTGAACTCACAGAGATCCACCTGCCTCTGCTTAGCTAGTGCTGGGATTAAAGGTGTATGCCACCTCCATGGGTGTGTCCATCTCTCAAACAAGTAAATACAACAGCAATGCTCTACCAGAGTCCATCACTTAAATGATACTTATTTCCACAAACACATTATCCTGATCATCAACTTCAACTACATTTATATATAAATTAACCATAACATATAAAAACGTATTTCCTCTACTTTTTTGTTCTCCTCTCTAACAAGTATACAATCAATGTGGATTCAGTTAAAGTTCTACATTATCTGCATCTTTCCCTTTCCATTCTACATTAGTAAGTACTTCAAAGTTAAGAAAAGTCAGGATGTTGTGTGGGTTTTTTCCCCTAACAGTCAATTTCCAAGGATGAATAATATGCTGAGTAATTAATGAAGTCTGTAATAGTCTCTAATGCTAATGCATACTGCTAATACAAGAGTGTGAAAATCAATAAGAAATATTTAATGTACCATAAGATGCTGAATGTGCTTAATCATAAAATGTTTATAGAGTAAAGAAGGTATATTTAAGCAATTTAGAGAGACATTGCAAGGATTCAAACCAAAGATCTTTATTAGATTTCAATTAAACATAAAACAATTAATGTTCAAATATTCTAGTGAATCAATATATAATAAGCCAAATTACAATGTTGTAATTTTTATTCAAATGGCAAACAATGGGAGAAGAAATTCTTAGAAAAAGGCCTAATGTTAAAGTGTGATAGAAAAAAAATCCTAACCAACATTGAAATTCTTCAAAATTAACTCACAGTCTCTCAAGCCACTGAATTACACATTTGTTTATGTTTGCAGGCTGAGTATGGACATGTACATCTTAAATAGGAGTTTTTGTTTTGTTTTGTTTTTCGAGACAAGGTTTCTCTGTGTAGTTTTGGTGCCTGTCCTGGAACTCACTCTGTAGCCCAGGCTGGCCTGGAACTCACAAAGATCTGCCTGCCTCTGCCTCCCCAAGTGCTGGGATTAAAGGCGTGCGCCACCACTGCCTGGCTTAAATAGGACTTCTATAGCATAGAATATAGAGTTGTTAACAAAATCTCTAAGGTGCTGGGCTGGAGGTGTAGTGCAGTAGAGCTTACCTGGCACGCGCAGGGCCTTGAGTTCAACTCCCAGGACTGAAGAGCTACGCACCCTCCAAACACCACTAAGTTACAGTTTTATTTACAATGTTTTACAAACCTTCATGTTGTTATGAAAACACCAGTCATTTATCTCCACAACATTTCTCATCTTTCCAAACTAAAGATCTGTACTCATTCAACAGCATTTCATTGCTGCTCTCCATTAACAGCCCCACCCCTCCCCACACCCGGACAAACACAGAACCTTAGATTTTACATGTTTAAAATAAGACGGAATTCTTACCAGATTATGTATTATGTTCGTTAAGGTCCAAGCAACAGGAACACTGAAGAAGGGGATGCTGAGTAATACAACATGAAGCAGGCCAACTCCCAAAGCGTATGTCAGCCACATACCACGGCTGTTCATTACACGAGTATTGGGGTTCACCTCACTGTGGGCAACTCCAACATTCATGTTTGCGCTGTAGGAAAGAAACAAATCAACAATGCTATGAGCTGGAAACCTAAATACCCACAATGCCTCATTCTGACGTGGAACACACACCTTCAACATACACTGTCTACAGATGCTGATATAAGCATTGTCTCACTGACTGACACTTCAGTCAGGCAGACACAACTTATCTGTATGGTTTCTTTTTCTAAAGCCCGTTTTCTAGCCTGTCAGTTTTACAAAATGAAGTAATAGGAAAGAAAACTCAAAGTGGATCCAAGTGTGTTGGTACACTCCTGTAAGCCCAGCACGCAGGACTGCCAAAAGTTGAGGTCAGCCTGGGCCACAGAGCAAGACCCTATCTCAAAATTCTTTAACAAAAAAGAAATATATGATATATATTGCAAGCAGAATGAAAGCCAGAAGCTAAATACATAAACAGAATAAACTAATTACTAGTTCTAAATTGTGCAAGTCAGCAGGTTTCCTTGCAGTATTTCCACACATGCCTATACAGTGTTCAAGGCCAATCCCTCCTCCTTCCCTCTCCTGCTCTCCCCACTTCCTCCCCCGGTAGTCTAGCCCATTTTATATTTTCAGGTCATCTTTTTGTTTTTGTTCCCTTTAATTAGTTTTCCATATACTATTTTTATTCCTCTGTGTGGCTAGTTTTGAAAAACATGGTAATCACCAATAGAATTAATACTTTGAAAAGGTGGGGGAAGAACCGACCCAACCAGTCTTAGTGGCCAGATGCTAACAAGTAATGGAACATTTTAACCTTTTTTTCCCCTACAAGATCAGACTCACAGGTACTCCTGCTTCAGCCTCCAAATGGTGGGGTTACAAGTGTAAGACACTACTGTCTCGCTAGGTGCTTCCTTTTGAATAGTGAACCTAGAACTAACAAGCTGTCAGTGTAATGTGAAAGAAAGCTTTACGTGGTTAGGAGCTCAGATTGTAGCACAACTAGGTTAAAGCCATGAATCTTTCTCATCATTTCTTTAGCCAAACTCTCCAATTAGTTTTTCTTTACGTCACCCCTCATCGGCTTTTCCTTCCTCTAATGTTCAGGAAAAAACACGTAAGAACTGGTATTAGTGCTCAGCCATCGTGGTGAGCATACAATTTACTGGGGTCTACGACTTTAGTTTGTTACCATCAAACTGAAATGGGTATTGTCTGAGAGAGGGAAAATTGCTAGAACATTTCTCCTCCCATTCAAAAGCACATAGAACTCTTTCTTCTGTTGCAGAATTTGCAGAAAGGGATTTTCACCCTGCTAAGCAAGTGTTTCTGGAGTGCAATGTTCTTTCGGCTTCTCAAGATCTACGGAAATAGGCAATGATGAAAATTACTTTGGGAAAGTCTCGCGCAAATCTTGCTTCTATAAAAACCCGGCGTCTATAAGGCCTTTTAAAATGTTAATACTTCGAACATCTCACAGAATGTAAAAAACGCTGGAAGCAGGCCTCAAATGGCCACTTAGGCCAGCCTAGAAAAACCCTTCCCAGCAGGTGTGCGGCAGACAAAGAATTTCCCACCCGGGCCGGGCCTTCCCCGCCCGCGCACAGCCATCGCAAGCTCCCACCGCCCGGCTCGCAGCCGCGCATCCCTCAGCAGCCCCGTGGGCACGACGACCGCGAAGAGCACCCGCGGCCCCCGGGCCTGCGCAGCGCGAGCGAGCCCGGCTCGCAGCGGAAACCCGCTCTGCCGCAGGCCGTCCGGCCGTCCCGCAGCTTCCCGGAGCCTTCGAGCTTACCTGCCGCCAGCTCCCGGCGGCCCGCACGTCGCCGGACCAGCCCCGCGACAACGACAGTACGTCCTCACGCCGGAGGGCCGCTGCTGCGCGGCGCCGCTTCCGGAAGCCTGCCAAAGCCAGCGGCCGATTGGCTGCCGAACGCGCCGGCCCCACCTCCAGCGGTGGGCGGGGCCAAGAGGCGCGCGAGCGCCCGTCCCGCCGAGCGCGCGCGCGCGCGCTGCGACCGTGCAGGCGTCCCGCAAAGTAGGCCCCGCTCCCGAGCGCTTGCTGACTGCACGCCGCGGTGCGTGGTGAATGCCTTACCTCGCGCGAGCCAGAAGGTAGTGTCACGGCGATCGAGCACGCCCGGTGATGCTCGGGGAGGCTGCAGCCGCCTCCCGGGGTCAGGGGCGTTCCTGCGAGGCGCGCGAGCGCGCGCACGTGTGCCCATTCTCCCGGGTTTCTGCTAGGCAGTAGTGGGAGCTCCTCACACAGACCCTTGGTGTGCAAGACCCGAAAGTTTCGTCTTGCTAGAGAGGGTAGCGGCTTGTAGTGCTGTGTGTTTTCGCAAAATCTGTCGATTTGTGTTTATCCCCGATGAAAGCCACGTGTAGTACATCCTAAAGAAATGTTAATACCAGAAGTTCGTCTCATTGAGGAAGGAGAGGAAAATAACTTGATTAATCCATTTTCTTCCGAATCATCGTTGAAATTGCATTTTCTTTGCCTTAGTGATTTGTATTTATAAAAGTTTGTGATATTTATTTCAGAAGTAACTGGAAAACATTTTAAGTTGGCAGAATGCTTGCACGTATGTGTAGTATCTAGTACTTGTTTTGGTTCTATGGAACAGTTGGACTGGGTTTAAAATGTGTTGTTTTCTCCCTAAATTCTAAGTTCTCGAATCTCTTTCTTTTTGTAGATACATCAGTTTCTCTTAACTGACTTTCTGTTCATAGCACACTTAAACAGCAGTGTTGATCTCCTTCAGCAGACATGAATCCTGTTCTGACAATGCAGGTATCCAGTGCTGACATGTAAACCTGGCATCACCCTTCTGTTTTTCAAAAGAGGTCTTCAGTGCACATTCCTAATATGCCACATTCCAGAGCCAAGAGGAAGGGCCGTATAAATAAAATAGCCTTTTATGGGTTTAAATCAAAAACAAGGAAGGACTGCCCAATCTGTTGGTAGCTAAAGGTAAGGAGACCAGAATAGAGAAGAACTTTAGGACTGGGGGGGCACAAGGCATCTCAGGAAGAAGGTGTCATGGGATCCAGGGAATCCTGCCACATTGAGGTTAAGGGAACCACATTGTGTAGGACGGCCTGCTTAGTACACATCTGGAAAATGGGATGAAATTAGAAAGATAGGATAGTAGGGAATTTGAACTTAACATGTTTAACAATTGAAAAAATCTTCAAAAAACTTAGAATAACAAAAATATTTAAATTATAGAAACAACTTATAAATATTCAAGTCCGAATATCAATTAGGTAGTTATTGAAGTCATTCGGAGGGGAAATAATAAGGGGCCGACCAGAAGTTCTGGGAAGAGTATCATCCTAAGAAAGTTAGGAAGGACAGGGGGAAGACCATGAAAGGAAGGTTGTGATCTTATGCAAGTTGTCAAGCTCTTCAATTCCATTTGTAGTAGAGGAATGGGAGTGTGTTGAGGGTTATAAAAGAGCCTGTGAAGTTCTTTTGTTGTCTATTAATTTTATTAGCAAACAGGAATTATAGAAAGATTCTGAGATACGATAAAATTTATTCTGTTTCTTAGGCCATCTATATTTAGAAGGAAGATAAATCAGGCCCTAGAGTCCAGGAAGAAGTTGGAGGTGCACTGGGGTGGGAGATGGTATGGAGGCCAGTGTAAAATTAAACATACAGATGGAGGGAGTTGAAACCGTGGCAACTTGCAGTCTAAAGGTTATGTAATTTAGGATAAGGTTTTGACAAGCATCCTTTGCCTGATGCAAGCCAAGAACTTAAGGAGTGTGGGAGAGAGAAGTGTCATTCCAGTGATTGATGGGAAAGGATTGTTGGGGCTGATACTGGAAGTGATGGATTAAGAGGAAGCTGGATAGTGGGTTACAAATAGAGTTCGCTAACAAAGGCAAGTTCTTGACCGACTGTGGTGGCCACTAATAGAGGCAGCAAAGCTAAGTGGCAAGCGTGAGGGAGGAGGGATGATAAATAAGGTCTGTTTTACAGATGCTTACCTGAGGCAGCAGGGACAGTTACTGTTAGAAATGCCAGTTTTAGGAAGAGCAAGATCACATGACCATACAGATTTAGGTTGGGGTGTTAAGTTACCTAAGAAAAGGGGAGAGATGTTGGGGGATGCTCACCTTCCTGAGAAGAAAGCCAAGAAAGACAAAGATATCAGAGACAGATAGATGGTAATATCTGGGAAGTAAAGGAGTATGGCCCTTCACTGGGGATGTAGCAATGGTACAGCACTTACCTGTCATATGCAAGACCCTGGTTTGGTCCTAAGTACCAAACCAAAGAAAAATGCAGCATAGGTCCCAAGGAAATAGTTTATTCCTTCAGAGTTCACTGCTGAATAGAGTAGAAGAATTCTGTAAAGGTGGTTGTAGCTATAAGCTACTTGGCAACGGTTTTAGAGATGATGTGCCGACAGGGAATTTGTAACAGTAAGTAAGGGTACTTCTTCAAGCTTGGTCCCATGGAAAAGGAGAAGACTGCTGGAAGGGAGTTTTGGCTAGTTCTTGCTTGTAGGGAGGCTGGATAGACAAAGGGAGGTGGAAAAGAGTTGGTGTCTTTGTTCCAGCTGTTAGAACAAAGTACTGCACACCAGGAAGTTGATAGACAAAATAATAATAATTGTATTTTTAGGACTTTACCATTTAAATGACATTCTGCTCCCCCCAGTAGGATCTTGCTATTAAGCCCAGGCTGCTTTGAATGCTTCATCTTCCTCAGCCTCCCAAGGCCTAGGATTATAGATAGCTATGTATGTGCCACTGTGCCTAGTTACTTTCTTCTTTGCTAAAACACAAAGTAATTGGTTTCACTGTGTCATCCCCCATCCTCTCCTGTGCCTTCACCGTGCCTGTTTGGTTTTTTTTTTAAGATTTATTTATTCATGTATTTTATGTATATACCAGAAGAAGGAATCTGATCTCATTTACAGATGGTTGTGAGCCACCATGTGGTTGCTGGGAATTGAACTCAGGACCTCTGGAAGAGCAGTCAAGTGCTCTTAACCACTGAGCCATCTCTTCAGCCCCCCCACCATGCCTGTTTTTATATGTACTTTTTTATTTGATCCTTGCAACAACCAGCAAGGAGTTATCTCTGTTTTTATAGGTGATAACTTGTTTGTGCAGAGGAATTTGAGTTTGTTTCAAACTTAGTAAAGATCCTAAGACCTGGGTTTGGGCCTTTGGTCTGTTTTTCTGCTGTGCCAATCAGCTTTGCCTTCCTTATGTGTAGCAAAAAAGGCTTGTGAATTGTAAGAACCCAGGTTAGCCTCTTCCTAGAATTTCATAGATAAAAATGTTACAATGCCACCTCCCACCCCCTTGCTGCACAGTTATGTGACAGCTGGCGTTACATTGCCTGAGAAAGAACCATAAACTGACCTTTTGGTTCCGAGCTTTGTATTATAATTTTGTTTAAAACTAGATTCTATGGGTTCAGTTCATCATATGAACATGGAGTTAGTCATGTGGAATGACTTAGAGGTTTTTTTTTTTTTTTTTTTGGTTTTTTGAGACAGGGTTTCTCTGTGTAGCTCTGCGCCTTTCCTGGAACTCGCTTTGGAGACCAGGCTGGCCTGGAACTCACAGAGATCCGCCTGCCTCTGCCTCCCGAGTGCTGGAATTAAAGGCGTGCGCCACCACCGCTTGGCTGAGTTTTTTTTTTTTTTTCCAAAGATTTTTTGAAAAACAAAAACTTAACATTCTAGAGGAGTTACATGTTGTCAAGCTAATCATTATCATCCCAAAATATTTTCTGAAGTTAGGCATAAATGAAGGCAGATAGAAAGCTCCCTCCTTACTACATGTACATTTGTAGTTCTAGCACTGAAGAGGCACAAATCTCTGCAAGTTTGAGGCTGACCTGGCCTACTCTATGAATTTCAAGCTGGCAGGGCTACATACCAACAGCAAAAGTCTCCCTGTGTGTCTTTTAAGTAATGGGATTTTCATTTTAAGTTTTGGGGATTTTGTTTTTGTTGTTTCTGTTTTGGTTCATCATATGAAGAGCCTGTAATACCTGCACAGAGATTTTTCACAACATGGTTAGAGACAGTAATGCCTAGTAATGCAGAAGATAGTTATTTGACATGTCTCGGGCCTGACTAATTTGTATTAAAAGTGATTCTAGAGTCTTGAGAGCCAATCCAAAAGAGCTCAATGGTCTAAAAAGGCATTATAGAGCTTCAAAACATTTGCATGTCTAATGACATGTCAGTCAAGCTGTTGAGTCACATGATTGAATCATTATCCACATTCCAAGTTGTCAGCATCATGTGGTCATTGCTAGCCAGGCACATCATACATTTTATATATATATTATTCAGCAGTTCTTACCATTCTTCAATTATTGACAGCTAAATGGTGATTTTTTTTTTAAGTCTTTAAAATTCATTTGTCTCCACGATTCTACTGCCTTCAATGACTCAGCGATCTGATGTAATGAGTTTGGACCAGGACATTTAAGGAAATAGATTGAAAGTAAAAATTTTAATCTAACTTTTGAGAAGTAATCATGCCCAACCACTAAGTCATTCTGTTTTCATTCCTCTTTATTACCTAAAAAACACCTTCCAAGATTAATGGCGTGTATTATTTGCAGAGTTGAGGCCAAGGGAAGTTTGTAACAACACCAATGAGATGAGTTCAGCAGACCTTAGTGAACGGAGTGCTGTGACTGCTGAGGAAAGTGGATCAGCCTGAGGTCGAGCAGCTGTAAGGCAGGTGTCCTTGGAGGACATTTGGGTCAAGTTGTAATGAACTATGACCAAGTTTGTGCTTCTGCACGTCATGTGGTGCGTCATCAGGAAATCATGTATACAAACCTTCCTAGTTACTTCCTGGCTTTTTGTCCTTTTTTGTGGGTCAGGTGGAGGGAAGGCCAACATAAGCAGCTCTTTGACCTTGAGAACGTTCACATTTCTAACGTGCACATCTTAAATGGTGATAATCATGAATGCTTGCACAGTGTCTCCTTTTCACACTTAGATTAAAGTCAATTCATATATGAAGAGCTTAGAACAGTGTCTGGGTGCTAGATTTCATAAGGGAGGGGCTAAGTGTGAAGATAGAAGAATGTGAGAACTGGAACTCATTCCATGTGGGTTTGACTGCTTGATTAATCGGATGGGAATAACTTGAGTTTGAGCTGGTGACTCCAGCAGATGGTTGGAATTTAATAGGACAGAAATAGGAATTGTACATGTTGGTTATACTCAAAACTCTTGGAGAAAGAAGTAGAAAGACAGTTCTCTCCCACTTAAGCCATTTGTGGAATTTCTGTCTGATTTATTTGTTAAGTTTGCATGAGAGCAGTGGGTTTTGTTATGGCGTTTTCATTCATACATGTGTTCTTCTTTGTTCTTATTTTTCTCCTTCCTGGTTCCCAATTCTTGCTCATTTTTTGGTTCCCTCCCTCCATTAGTTAATGCTTCTGCTTTCATGACACGTGTTCTTCCATTTTACCTCCTTCCCCTTCCCATAAGATCTCTTTCCCTGGGCTGGAGAGATGGCTCAGAGGTTAAGAGCATTTGCTGCTCTTGTAGAGGACCTGGGTTCAGTTCCTAGCACCCATGTGGTGATGAAATGATCCATGTTAGGTAGTTATTGACAACCACTTTGATTAAGCCAATTAAAAATTTTAGTCCTTTTTTATGATGGCTCATGCCTGCCTCTTGGTGCTTAAATTTGGGGATACAGTGTTGGTTTTTATGTGGCGGCGCAATGTTATTCATTAAGCGGTGCTGTTAACATGTGAGAAAAGCCTAGAGACACGACAAAACCCACTATCAGTCTTTATTAGGGAAGGAGGAACAGAAGAGAATGTGCTTAGGCCTAGCGCAGGAATTACATAGAACGTCAAGCCCTGGAATGACTAACCATCTGAACTGCGGTCATGTAGCTGGGGGAGTGGCCAGGAATTCCAACATACAGTGCTTAAAAGGCAGTCACAAAGACCATAATTTACATCATAGGTAGATGAGGGTCAGAGTAGCTTGAAACCACCAGCTGGGGAAGTTCAAATGCTTAACACCATGTGCGAGGGGGGGGGGGGGGAGCCTAATGACCCTCTGGGCTCCACTGGACTCTTGTCACATGACCTTTTCATTTCTAACATATCTAATTATTGATTCAATCTTTTCTTTGTTTTAGTTTGGCTAGGGCTTTGTCAACCTCACTTATTTTTTTAGATTAACAACTTTTGACTTTGCGTATTGCTCTTTTACAGCCTTTTATCAGCTGCTGCCCTGGTCTTTATTATTTGCTCTCTACTACCTTTGGGTTTGGTTTGTTCTGTTTTTTCTAAGACATTGAGGCACATCATTTGTTGGTTACTTGAGAGCTCACTGCTTTTTTAATGTAAGCACTCAAAGCTCTCAACTTTCTTTTGAAAATGGTTCTATTTATATCCCAAAGGTTCTAGTAACTTGTTTTCATTTGATTCTAGAAAATTAAAAACTTTCCTCTCTGCCAGCTGGTCGTTCTAGAATGTACCATTCAGTTTCCAAGTACCTTTATGGCCTCTTTTGTTTTACCTGCTGCTGATTTCTAGTTTTCTTCCATTGCTGTCTGAAAAGACAAGAGATGATTTGATTTTTTAAATCTCAGTTTGTGGCTGACGGTGCTGTCTATTTTAGCAAAGGTACCGTGGGCTGCTAAGAATGTGTACTCTGTGTCTGTTGGATAGTGTATTTTGTGTACAGAGATGAACCATTAGATGTGTGGTATAGTTTAACTATCAAGTTTCTTTGTTGATTTTTTAAAATTTAGATGATTTGTCTAAGCAGCGCTGTAAGAAAGGACCCCCTGTGCCTTGTGGGTCTGAATTCTCATAGGCATGTCTGCCACGCTGTCTTTCCAGGGTGTTAATTCTGTGAATGAATCTCTTACCCAAAAGGACAGTCTGCCTCAGGGTCCCCTGTGAACCTCAAACCCAAGCCTTTCAGTGTGATCTTTTGGAGGAGTCATGTTGCTTTTATTTCTACTATTTTCTGTGTTGTGATTTGTGCATCTGTTGGTTTTGTATCTTTCCCGGGTATCGTGGAGGGTCTTGGTGAGTGGCGCTCTCTTGTTGGCTCAAACCTAGTCCATTTCAGGAGGAGAATCTGGGTTTGGATGGGTCTCCTGCCTCCTCCCCCCTGCTGTGGGCAGGGCTGTACTGCTGCCTCTGGCTGGGAGTACTTCTCAGTGTTGCCCAGCTTCTCCTCTGCACTTGGCAAGCTGCCCTGTCATTACCTGTGTGGACTCCAAAGCTCTTCTCTTTCTCTCTTTGCACACAGACTGTCCTGTCTTAGTCACTTAAATCTTTAATCACTTAAATATTTTTTTATTTTTACTATTTTGTTGTTCAAAACAAATGGTCTTATTCTTTTTTTTTTACCACTTCCTCCTTTCCGTTTCTCCCTCTAGGTTCTTCCATGTTTGGTCTATTTTTTCCTTACTCTGGTGCTGCCAGAGGGAGCTTCCAGTCTGCCATCTTACCTGAAAGTCTTTCTCTACTTCCCCAGTCACATGGAGGGAGCTTCTAGTCTGCCATCTTATCTGAAAGTCTCCTGGACTTATTTTTAGAGCTGTTTGTGTGGTTGTACACTTGTGGGAGGTAACTAATTACATATGTTTCAGGACTTCTTGTATCAAAATCTTGACCCTGTGTTTTAACAACTGAAGGAGCTTAGTTTCCTCTTGCATAGCTCAGTAATCTTACAAAATGGAGATGGTAATGGTTCCTGATTCTAAGGATACTGGTAAGGAATTAATTATCTCATACTGAGTGAGCTTACAGTCAAGCCTTGCGTACATAATGGCTAAACACAGTGGGCTCTGCCATGTCGTCTGTTATTACTGTCTGCCGGTAAGTCCTGTTCCTGTTTTACACCTCGTGATTCTGTTGTAGCTGCTCTGCTGAGAGCGAGGATGAAACAGTTGCCTGCAGCGACAGTCCGCCTCCTGTCCAGTTCTCAGATAATCACGTCGGTGGTCAGTGTCGTAAAAGAGCTCATTGAAAACTCCTTGGATGCTGGAGCCACCAGCGTGGAAGTTAAACTGGTGAGTGAGCGTCCCTGTGAAACAGATGCCTGTAGAGCAAAGTGGGCCTGACAGATTGTCCTGGTACATTGTTGCTTTCTTTTCTTTCCCAGGCATTGGGCTTTTTTGAACTCATTTTAAAGAGTAGATTGTAATTTAAACCAAGACTATAGTAACACTAAAGGAAATCACAGAAGAAAACCTACGCTAGATAGGGGTCTCTCACCCAAACACTCAGTTGAATGTCTATTTTCTTTTAATGTGTATCTTGGTTATTTATATGACCTAAATCCAGTTTCTGAACACACAGCACACACTTCACGGTGTGCATGCTCCCAGGACATGCCTGCAGCACCTCACCGTGAATTCAGACTGTTGCATGCTGTGAATTGTTCTTACTGTACACGCTAAGTTCTCTGCTCTTGTAGACACATATGCATTCAATCATGAAAACAAAGACTTTAAATATCTTCCTACCATCATTCCTCAGGAGGTAAGCATGTAAATCTCTTTATTTTCAAATTACTATACCACGCTAGGATATTAGGTTTTTAAATTTGCTGTTTTAGCTAGTGATTTAAATTTCATAAAAAAAAAAAAATCATTACATGAATTTTGGGTTGGGATTAGCATATCCTTTCTAACAGTCTATGAAATGGCCCTGTCTTCGTTACTTTTCTTTTGAAGTGACACCGTAAACAAGGGAGCTTATAAGAGAAAGCATTTAGTTGACGGTGGGTTTACAGTTTCAGAGGGTGAGTCTGTGACCATCATGGCCAGGCAGCAGGCAGGCGTGGCACTGGAGCAGTAGCAAAGAGCCTACATTCTTATCCTCAAGTAGGAGTCAAAGAATACTAATTGGGAATGGTACCAAAGGCCACCTTCTGAGACACACATCCCCCAAGGCCACACCTCCTAGTTTTTCTCCAAATAGGTCCCACCTACTAGTGGGATTAAGTATATTCATATATGAACCTATGAGGGTCATTCCCATTCAAAACACCATATTTCACTCTCTGGTCCTGTTTTAGTCAGGGTTCCCTAGAGTCACAAAACTTATAGAATGAATCTCTCTCTCTCTCTCTCTCTCTCTCTCTCTCTCTCTCTCTCTCTCTCTCTCTCCCCCCCCCCCCCATATATATGCACACACACATATAAATGGGAATTTATTGGGATGATTTGTAGGCTGCAGTTCAACAATGGCTAGCTGTGAATAGAAAGTCCAAGAATCCAGACGATGCTCAGGCCCACAAGGCTTCTTCTGTATATGCTGGAATCCTGAAGAAGTAGACTCCAGTGCCAGTGAAGGAATGGATGTGCTGACAAGGTGAGGGCAAGCAGGAGAATAATGAACACACACCCTTCCTTCTTCCCTTGTCCTCATATAGACTTCCAGCAGAAGGTGTGGCCCAGAGTAAAGGTGTGTCTTCCCGCCTCAAGATCCAAATCAAAGGCATGTAGTTTTCTTGCCTCAAGATCCAGATCACAATTGTGCCCTCCATTTCTGGATGATAGTTCAGTCCAGATATCGTCAAGTTGACAACCAAGAATAGCCATCGCAGGTCCCCAGAAGCTTGTAGCCATATCATAATACAAGATACATTTACTTCAACTTCAAAAGTCCTCATAGTCTTTCACAGTCTCAACACCTTAAAAGTCCGAAGTTTCTTCTGACATTCAAGGCAGTCTCTTAACTGTAACCCCCTGTAAAATCAAAATCACATTATATACTTCTAACATACGATGGCACAGAACATACGGGGCCACTCTAAGGTAGGAGAGTGTGTAATGAGGAAACCAGTAGGGCAAAGTCCAAATGCTACAGCTCTGTGTCCAGTATCACGGGCACAGATAGCTCTTCAGATTTCCCACTCCTTCAGCTTTGTGGTCTGCAACACACTTCTCTCTGGAGCTGGTTCTGCCCCCTGAATGCAGCTCTCCTCAGACATCTCAGGGTCTGGTATCTTCAGCACCCTGGAGTCCTCAGCACAGTCCAGTCTTTCCTGTCTGGGCCTCCGTGCAGGGACTCACTCCCCCTCTGGTCTGAGCAAGACCAAGGGGGAAGCTTCCATAGCCCCTTTACTCCTGTTCCTTGGGTTACATTCGCAGAAGGTTTGATTTGTTGATGTTTTTCTTTGTTGCATAAGCTTCCTTCAATTCCTAGGCCTTTTCTTTACACAGTTTGCAGGGTTAACAGGGTGGGGTCTTGCCCTGAGACCTCCCCACCCCCAATCTTTTTCCGCAAAAACCAATGCTTCAACATGACCTTATATTCCCTGGTGCTCATTTGATCATCAAAATGCATTTATATTTCTGTTTGCTCTGCTTGCTCCTCTACGGTGAAGATCTGCATATCAGTCACTAATAACCACATGACAGAGTCATCCTAGGTTGTCTTGAAATCTCCTCTACTAAGGACAGTAATCCCAAACTCTTCAATTTAGCCTGAAGCAGATTCTTAGGACAAGGGCAAAAAGCAGCTACGTTCTTTGCCAACATACCGTAAGAATGGTCTCTAGCCCAGTTCCCCTCTGAAACTTGTTGAGCTAGGCCTCTGTAGTCCAGATTGCTTTCAGCACTACTGTCTTCCAAGATTGTACTAGGATGGCCCATTACATTTATGTTCAGTATTCAACAGCTTTCCTATCCAAGGTCCCAGTGTTTTCCATATATCTCCAAGAAGCAGCATGATCAAGTCTGTCACAGTAATACCCCAGTCCCTGGTACCAATTTGTGTCTTAGTTACTTTTCTATTGTTGTGAGGGGACACCATGATGTAGGCAATTTAGAAAGCATGTAGTTGGGGCTTGATTATAGTTTCAGAGGTGAGCCTATTATTATCATGGCAAGGAGCATGGTGGCATGCAGGCAAGCATGGTGCTAGAGAAGGAACTGAGAGCTACATCCTGATCCACAAGTTGGAGGCAGAGAAAGAAGCTGGGCCTGAAGCTCACCCCAAGAGACACACATTCTCCAAAAAGGCCATACTTCTTGTTCTTCCCAAATATGAGCCTATGTGGGCCATTCTAATTTAAACCACCATAGGCCCTGAATGTATTTGTGCAGTTTTATACAACATACATAAACAAAAAGTGTGTTATTAACATTGTAATTATAGAATCAGATCAAACCTTAGAGCTTTGAAGATGTCCTGTGCTAAAATAGCAAATGTTCCTCCATGATATAATTATGTAAAAAATAAGCAAGCAGTTCCACCGATCACATCAGTGTGCAAATATGTATTCATCTTTAATAAATGGTAAAATTATATGTATAACAAGGTATTATTTCAATTATTAAGTATTGTGTTTGTATCCCTATTTTATATATCTGTATACCAGAAATTGTGTACAACTTTGGTGGGTGAAAAGAAATTATGGATGGGAAATGTTTAGGAAGCACCAACAGTGTTTGTAACATATTGCAGTTAGTTTGAATGTTTTCCCCCCATTTTAAATTTCAAGCTCATAGAGTTAGACCCTATATTTTTGTGTCCTCCCTACCTGTCTGTTACCTGCTATATACCAGGAACATAAGTTTATATTACTGAACGTAAGAATATGATTTTTAAAATCTAATTATCAGATATTTGTGTTATTGCAAGTACTGTAACATGATAATCCTGACAGGGATACTCTGTGATAAAAGGATCTCACTTTTACTTATTATCAGTTAAAATTCAGGTTGTTATCATAAATCTCAAGCACTTCTCATAAAAATTTCATTGACCATTTTACAAAAAGTCAATGTTCCCAAAACTTGCCTAAGTCACTTCATTAGCTAGTAGTGAAAATGAGATTGAAATAAAGTGTTCCTAACTTAAGGTTTCTCACCTATGTCCAGGGTGTATGGGGTACATCAGGTTAGGTTGGGGGCTCTGTCAGGTGGTTACTAAGCTCCACTCTTACAGTTTCAGATTATAAGGAAGGCTTGAGAGTGTACATACACACGCTGCTGTACATCCAGAGAATGTATACAACTGCTGCCGCCGCCGCTGTACCATGGAGCATAATTGCAGAACGTCTGCCCAATTGTGCCTTTAAATCAGCAGTTCTCAACCTGTGGGTCACAGGGGTCACATATCAGGTGTCCTCTATATCAGATGTTTACATTATGATTCATAACAGTAGCAAAATTATAGTTATGAAGTAGCAACAAAAATAAGTTCATGGTTCGGGATCACCACAACATGAGGAACTGTATTAAAGGGTCACAGCATTAGGAAGGTTGAGAACCTCTGCTTTAAATAATATTCTATGTGCTAAAAATGTGAAAAACAGTTTATTGAATTAAAACCAAAGAGTGACTATTTTTCTTAGGTATTTTGTATAATCAGTCTGATTAGAGAGAGTATAGGTAACAATAAGTACAAGTGTCTGTGTCCTTATATCTGACAGATATCATCTAAGACTCCTAGAAGGCAAAGATACATCTCATTCTTACTTCCTGTAGGTCTTTACCTTTTCCTCAAAGAAAACCCAGAAAAGTTTTGTTTATTTCTTGAAATGTATATCTTGTTCTTAAGTGTCTCTGGAAGAAAAATTGTTTTGTTTTGTTTTTTTCTTTATTAAGAAATTTTCTACTCACTCCTCATGCTATCCACAGACCCCCCCTCCACCCCCCAGCCCTTTTCCCAAGACACCCCGCATCCCCACATCCCCCAAATCGAGGTCTCCCATGGGGAGTCAGCAGAGCCCAGCACACTGAGCCTAGGCAGGTCCAAGCCCCTTCCCACTGTACCAAGGCTGTGCAAGGTGTCACACCACAGGCACCAGATTCCCAGAAGCCTGCCTATAGACCAGGGACAGATCCCAATCCCCCTGCCTGGGTGCCCCCCAAATAGTTCAAGCCAAACAACCGTCTTCCGTGTCCAGAGGGTCTAGTCCAGTCCCATGGGGGCTCCACAGCCACCAGTCCACAGTTCATGGGCTTCCACTAGTGTGGCTGGTCATCTCTGCACGTCCTCCCATCATGATCTCAATGTCCCTCGCCTGCAGTATCTCTCCTCTCTCTCATCAATTGGATTTCCGGAGCTCAGCCTGGTGCCTGGCTGTGGATCTCTTTATCTGCCTCCATCTGTCAACAAAACAATGGAAACATTCTTATAGAAGTAAATTAATGCTGTACTTAGTCATATCTACTCATCTACTTTGTAGGATTTCTAAGTAAACTACTTCACTGGGTCTGATATATATATATATATATATATATATATATATATATATATATATATATATATATACTTAGGCCTGTTTTATTCTGATTCTGGACATAAGTTGGTACTATTTTAAACATTCATGGGAATTTTTGTGTTTTTATTATATTCAGATTCATGGAGTTATTTATGTTGCAAGATTTATATTTCTCTGGTTGATGTTTTTTGTCTGTTGTTTAATAAAATGTAGCAGACATGCTGTTTCCAGAATGTCAGATTAATTTTAGATTGAGAGCTGTATGAGAGCTGAAATCTTAGGTATTTCCTGATAATGCTTTGTATGCATAGTTTATTTTTAAAAATGCTGGCAAGGTATTATAAGATTTTAGGTTATTGAAAGTGTGATATCATTGTATAATATGGAGTCAGTATAAATCCCAGAAGGTTTTTCCCTTTGTAGTGTGGTGATGTCTGCAGAGATTTTCAGAGCGAGGCAGATGACAATTGGTGACTGTGTTTAGAATGTGATATTCATAGAAAGTAAGGTCTCTTGTATATGTGCAGCTCAGTATCATAGAAGTAAGATATGAATGGAGTTTGCTTTCTTAATTTTCAAATTTAAAATAGATTACCAAGTTAGATATATTTTCTCAACAGTTTTCTGTTTGATGATATTTATAATAAAAACTTTAGAAAATTATAAGGTACTAAATACTTAAAATTTTTTATGAAAGCAACAAGGGAAAAACTAGATAAAAAATCAGACTAAATAAGAGTGGTTGCTGGATTCTTGCTGAGTAGAGCAGGTGGGTTTTTGCTGGTGGTAGTGTTTTATTTCATTTGGGGGATGATGTACATAAGAGCTCTGTCAGAACTTTTAATTCAAGTATAAATATAAATGACCACAAATATCTGTGCTAGTAAAAAAGTTCATAGAACCCTCAGGAGATTAGCTTGGCCTCCTTGTGTTGTAGTTGAGTCGAGATCCAGAGAAAACAAGCACCTTGCTCATTGTACCATACCTGGGGATTAGCAGAGCTAAGGAATAGAAACTCCTGTTTGCATAGTGTTATCTTTCCTTTAAAGTTGTCAAATAGCCAGATTGTTTAATTTGCGCTTCTAAATTGATTGCAGTGTAATGTTTTTATGAACTGAAAGTGTTCTTAACTTCCGATAGGAGAACTATGGGTTTGACAAAATCGAGGTTCGGGACAATGGTGAGGGCATCAAGGCTGTGGATGTACCTGTGATGGCAGTGAAGTACTACACCTCAAAGATAAACAGTCACGAAGACCTGGAGAATCTGACAACCTATGGTTTTCGAGGTGAAGCCTTGGGGTCAATTTGTAATGTTGCAGAGGTAAGGAAATTTATGTTGACTACTTTATTAATTTCATAATGATCAAATATTAGAATTGGGAGAAAACCAATTCATTGTCAGAGTAGCTTTATTATTTTTAATTTATGGTAAAATATAGTTAAATTTTTAACAACAATTCAGTGGTGTTAGGTACGTTCACATTATTACACACTTATCAAATATCCATTTCTAGGTTATTTTCATCTTCCCAAGTTACAACTCAGTACCCATTAAACAAAGCCCCCTTTCTTCTTTCCTCTTCTCCTGTATCTGGCAGCTACCATTCTACTTTCTATCTCTAAATTGAAGTCACAGGTACCTTATAAAAGTGGAAACATTAGACCTTTTGTGGCTGGCTTATTGCACTTCATATAATTTCTTCAAGGTTTGTGTTTGTTATGTTGTTAAAGGATTTCCTAAACCAGGTGTGTTTATTCCTGTAATTCTAGTGCCTGGGAGGCTAGCCTGGGTAAAGTAGTGAGATATATCAGTGTGTATATACAATTTATTTGTGCATTCATTTGCTGTTGGATTCTTGGTTGCTGCTACCTTCTGGCTGCCATGAAAACGGTTGCTCTGATCACAGGTGTTCAAGGACTTGTTTAGGTCCTTGCCATCACAGCTCTTGGTGAAGTAGCCTTGGTATTTCATATGGTAATTTTGTCTTTAGTATTGTGAGAAATAGTAACGTGTGTTTTGTGATATTATTATTCATTAGAGGAGGTTGTTTAGTAGACCATTAGCTTGGACAGGTTGTATTTAAAAAGTCTAACATTTAACTGTAGCACTTTTTAGAGCCTTTATCCATCCTAAAATAAGATTGCGACTCTAAAGGTAGTCTATAGTATATATACTTTCCTGCACCTGCTTAATCATGAGATCCTTTTTTTAAAAGGCATGCCACTGAATTTGTGTTTAAGTCTGGAACACACTGTGGAAATCCCACTTTGGTAAATATAGGTGATGAGATTGAGTTGTGCAGCTGTGAACTGACTTGTCAATGTGATACCTAGGACCAGTGTGGATCCTGCAACTTTAGTCATCTGACTGCTGGGTGGCACTTGTAATTTCTTTAGACCCCATGCTTCAGTGTCTGGCACGCTCAATTGTCTTACACTTTGGCTACAGATTTTATAACTACTGTAACCTCAGTCTCTTGTTCCCGTTATTTAGGTTGTTTTTGATTATAAGACTTGACTAGCCTCCTTTATGTTACTGTGTAGGTGTTGGGGCTGTTATTGTGTGAAGGTGTCTGTGTGCTGGTGAGGGTGGCAGTAACTGTGAAGGTCCCTTTAATTACTAAAGTTTTCCCCATTTCACTGGTGCTAAGGCTGCAAGGCCCTACTTAGGTAAGAATGGTCAAGTGCCAGAAAGTAATGGTATTTAACCTAGTGTTTAGGAAAAGTGGCATGAACGTGAGATACTGCCCTGTCCTCTCTGGTCTTTGGATGTCTGTTTAGGAGCCTGGTGTCAGCATTGTTGTATCTCCAGATTCATTGTAGTCTTTCCTTCTCGTGTGTGTTTGTGTGTGTGTGTGTGTGTGTGTGTGTGTGTGTCTGTGTGTGTGTGTGTGTCTGTGTCTGTGTGTGTCTGTGTGTGTGTCTGTGTCTGTGTGTGTAGGCCATAGAAACATTGCAGAGGTGATGAAGCTTCAGTGGGAATTTCTGCTGTTAAAACAAAGAGGCCTAGGTCTCCCTTCCTGGACTCCAGATGCTCAGAGCTCATTCATTGGAGGAGGAAATCCTTCATTGCCCGTCTTTCTTCTGGAGAACAGACATGGCAACCTGCAGCCTTGGAGCGAGTACAGAAAGCACAATGGTAAAATGGAAAAGCACTTGAGACCTCAGGGCTTCTCAGCACTGGTGCTGTGGCTTGAGCTTTGATTGGCTATTTTAGAGCATGAATATTTGATCAGTTAGCTACTGTCTAAACTAGCAGATAGGATTTAAACTTTATATTTTGAGAATGTTGTCAGGAAATGTGTTTTGATGTGTCTGTTTTCTGAAGATGTGTCCGACCTTCCAGAGGTCGTACCAGCTTCGCCTGCTAGGTGGCAGCCGTGTACTTAGTCTTTGTAAGTGTGACTTCCCACCTCTTCACTGCGGTTCCGACTTTAGATGGTAGTTTTGCCTGTCTGTTGGTTGCTATCTTGCTTGCTTGTTTCTTTTCTTAGATTAAGTTCACTCAACATTCGCATCTCTTTATCACTTTTGTCTTTTATTTTTGAGATATTCAAAAGGCCTCAAGTACAAATAATTGAAATAATTTTACTCATCAAAATTACCAAGGAATTATCAAAGTATCACAATAATAGAAAACTTTAAATCTTTTGAACAATTACAATTTACATATTGCAATGCTGTGTTAATTTATCTTAAAAACTTTAAGATTCTCCTTTTACAATCTATTATAAATTCACATGCATATATGTGTGTTTACATTTGTGTGTGCAGAGAACAGTTAAGTCTTATATATACTCTAGATAAAAATAAAGGCATTATCTATTGTTTCAGAAGGTTCTTTATGCCCATCCTGGTTAACATTCCTCAAAGATAACTGCTTTCTGACTATTTGGCACAAGTCAGTTCTACCTATTCTTAACTTGATACAGATCAGACTTTTCAGCATGCATTGTTTTGTCATGGAGTCTTTAGATATGAAATGACTAGGCTTGATTTTATGTTGTGGACCTTAGTGCACACTGCCCAGGGTCCCTGCTTTAAGATTCCTACTGCCCAGTCTGCAGACTTGGAAGTTTATCTACACTCCTCACATTGGGAAATCTTTTCTGAAACTTTGTCGTCATTTATAGGCAAATTCCTCCTAATTTTCATCAGAGTTCTTCATTCTGTAGCCAAGTTCATTGTTTTTTGTCTTGTTCTTTCAAGTTGCTAGCCATTGTCCTCTGGTAACATGCATATTTGTTAGTCATTCATGAACGATTGTTAGAGTGTTACAGTGGGGTTGGTATTACTCTCAGGAGTCCCATTCATTACATGTCATTCTGTGGAGAGAGAACACAGGATCTCTAGGGTTTTATGAGCCCCATGCTTAGAGAGGTAGACTCAGAAGCTAGGAGAGCTGTAAAGGGGCAAGAAGCAACCTCCGCTGTGAGACTGATGGCAAGCTAATGAAACCAGCTTTCTTCAGCATCAGGCGCTTCTTGTGTCGTTCACAACCACGATGGTAGAACTTTAGTGTGAGTAGGGTTGGGGATTTCTGGAGCAGTTGAAATATCCTGCTTCCTAAATGTAGTCTCATTACAGGCAATAGAACCGCTTTGAAGAGGGTACAGCCAGCTCTTCCTGTTGCTGGCCTCCCCACATCAAAGCTTCTAGAAGTGTGGAAATCAGAGGACATTCATTAGTGTATGTCTGTGCATGGCCAGGCAGGCAGACATCATTTTAGTCGTTCAGGCAGAAGTTCGGACTTCCCCTCAATCATAAAGGCTTTCTCTTAGTTTCCAGACTCATGTTTCTGTGCTTGAACACTCATTCACCCAGAAGTCAGGCTACACCGGTGGTATAGTTCAGTGGATTCAAGTCTTGAAACCATAAAAACAACCCAAAAGCCAGCTCCACCTCCCTCAGTAAAAAAAAAAAAAATCAGGTTTATCACCATTGCCTTAAATGGATCAGTGTCAGGAAAACTTTTACTTGGATTGCTAGGATGTTTCCTGAGTAATTTTGTTTACATGTCATCTAAATCCTGCGGGGAAACTGTGCTTACATAGGGTTTAAATGCTTTTTAATTTTAATTTTATAATTAGACCCACTTTTAATAACAGAGAGCACACAATCCTCAGGGTCCTCTGAAGAATTCTAAAAGGTGTTGACTTAAAATCTTGACATCACTGAACTCACTCTCTTCCACAGCTGCTCAGTGTCTCTGGTGAGAATCACCAGTGATTGTGTGTGCTATGAGAGACACTCCCAATCATGGAGTTAGTGCCAGTCATGGGCTCCTGCTGCACAGCTAATGCGTTGTGAACCTGTGCCTGTCCGAGAAGAGGTTTCCTGCCCGGGACATAGGGTCACATGATGAAATGAACCCTTGAAATCCAATTCCTTCCTCTGAAAAACGCTGTATTTCATGAATTTGTAAAACATGATTGTATGTGTTTTCTTCACTGTCTTACCATGTCTCACAGAGCATCTTCCATATGAACCAATTTTCATAGTGCCCTATAAACTGACATGAAATTTTATTGTTGGAATCCATGGTGTGCTGTTTTTAGTTTAACATAAGTGTTAATATCTCCAGCACTAAATCCCTGCTTCCTTCCTCTAAACGTTAGCTTTGTCTTGGTTGTTGTGTATTTACTGTTCACTGATAGGTTTAAAGCATGGACACATTATTGTCATAGAAGAGGCTTAGAAGTGGGTAAAGCAAAGTCTCATGTAACCTTTTAAAGCATTAGCATCTTCATCTTATCATCACCCTCCCTGGAGATGAGTGTGATCATTTTTTCAGGAGCATCTAGAAGCCACTGGCAGAGTTTGTACTGGAACTCCGAGTCCCAGGGCTGCCTTTGCTCAGTGACAGCATTACGTCAGATGGCTAGCTCTTTGGAGAATAGAAATAGAATTCAATTGACCTTGGCATTTTGGAGAAGCAGTTGTTTAAATGGAGAATTATTTTTAAAGGGGCAATTGTGGAATAATAAAACAGAAAAAAATCTCTACCACTTATTGTCCTTTTGTTTTGGGTAAACAAAACCAATAATGCACTGGCTATTGTAGACTTGGGGTGGACGTGACAGGGAAGGTCAGGATTAAAGTTACGCATCATCAACCTATGGAATGGATTTTGAGCAAAGTGGGACAATTAGGATACACAGAGGCACATATCTTTTGTCTTAGGTAACAGTCCTTTGTTTCCATTTTTTGAACAGTTATCACACCGAGTATCCCTAGTAAAAGTTGGATAAACATTTCAGATCCAGTAGTCTCTACTAGTTCTTCAAACTAAAAAAGCTCTCTCCCTATCATCTATTTATTTATCAGTCTAGCATCTATCTATGATATCAGAGAGAGAGAGCGAGAGAGAGAGATGGAGTGAGGTGCGATGGACTGTGGTGGTGATGATGGTGTCGGTGATACACTGGTACCCACACATGGTGCCCATGTGCTCCACAGAGCATATGCCACCAATAAATCTACTGAGGACAGATGATAGAACCATCACATACAGACCCTAATGGACCTAGAGCAGCCCCAGCAATGCAGCTGGATTTTTGTAGGTTCTATTATACTGAGTCCAAGGAGAGCCAAGAGAGATGACTCCTAATTTTGGGTTACCACTGCTTATCACAGGGCTGCTCTCTCCCAGTCCATCTTGCTTTCCTGACAGTATCCCTACTCTTCACCATTGCTTTTTGTCTATTTTTCATTTTCTTTTCATCAAGGCTGTGTTTCCTGCCAGGTTGGTAAACAGGATGTGAGATATGGGTAGTTCAAAAAAGTACAGGATTCTTAAATTTCCATTTCCACATCTGACATCATAAGGAGATATTTTGGTGCTCTCCTGTGCTCATATGCTTAATGCTGACTTTTTTAGTTGATGAAAAATTTATACTTAAACATTGAGTTTTAAATTTGAATTTAAGAAAAAATATCCGTAGATATTTATGTATATATTTTGAATTTTACTATTTGAAACTATAAATTGAAGTACAGAAATGTTGTTTTGTATCAAATACATAAGGGGAAGGAAATGATTACTAAACAGTTATTCGTTTGTCCATAAAATTTATGAAAATTATTAAAATGCAGATCCTCTTGGTACAATCAAAGTATTTTCTTTTACATTTGTGAATCTTACATACAAATGGCTGTTTGAAGTATACTGGTTTGTATTTTAATCAAAATGCTCAAACATTAATTCATTTGCAACATAGAAAAAAAAAATCACAGGCAGCCCGCAGCAGTGGTGGCTCACGCCTTTAGTCCCAACACTCGGGAGACAGAAGCCAGCCTGGTCTACAAAGCCAGTTCCAAGAGAGCCAGGCTACACAGAGAAACAAACCACAGGCTATTCTGTTTCAAAGTGTAACTCCAAAAATTACTACCAGTTAAGTATTCAAAGTAATTTATCAAGCAAGGGACTGGAGCCACAGTTTAATAGTTAAGATTGTGCACTCTTCTTCTGGAGAACCTGAGTTCAGTTCCAGCACCCACCTGGAGGTTCACAGCCCCCTGCTAACTCCATCTCCAGGGGATCTGAAGCCTCTGGCCTCCTAAGCAACCTGCACACATGTGTTCATAATCACACACATGCACACACACACACCTGCACCTACACACAATTCACTTAATTAAAATAAAATAAATCTTTAAAAAAGAATTACCAAGTAATATCTTCTTCAATATTAACTTAATAGCCGGGCGGTGGTGGCGCACACCTTTAATCCCAGCACTCGGGAGGCAGAGCCAGGCGGATCTCTGTGAGTTCGAGGCCAGCCTGGGCTACCAAGTGAGTTCCAGGAAAAGGCGCAAAGCTACACAGAGAAACCCTGTCTCGAAAAACCAAAAAAAAAAAAAAATATTAATAAGTGATAATTTTTTTGTTGGTTTTGCTTTGTTCTTCTGAGACTGGGTCTCCACTCTGTATCCCAACCTGGTCTGGAACTCAGCAGTTCTCCTGCCTTAGACTCCCAAATTCTAGAGCTGTAGACATTGCTTACCAAGCCGGCTCTGTGACAATTGTCTTCATTACCATAGACAAGTGATTGCTTTGGTGGGCTGCAGTGATACATTCCTGTGATCCCAGCACTCAGAAAGAGGCATGTAAATCTTGAGTTTGAGACTAGTCTAAACTACCTAGCAAGATTCCGTGTCAAAGGAAAACAAAGATTAAGAAAGGAGGGAGAGAGGGGTCATCTGTTAGTCTGAAGGAAGTTCTTGGTTTATTGTTTCCAGGTGGTAGTCACAACAAGGACAGCTGCTGATGACTTTAGCACCCAGTATGTTTTAGATGGCAGCGGCCACATACTTTCTCAGAAGCCTTCACATCTTGGTCAGGGTAAGTGAGTAGCTTTAAAATTCTTTCCTGTCTGAACTATTATTATTATTTTTTTCAAAAAGAATTTTGTCTTGAATTGACTCGGTGTTTTGGGTTGGTCTTGATAAAGTCTGGTTATCTTTGAAGCAAGCAGAGTCATCCCAAAGAGGAGCAAGTTGGGGCTGGGTGGCTGGGTGACCTGCAGTAACAGCAGTTGTCCTGCTGTGGGCCACCTGTGCCGTCTGTACAGATGACGGAGAGGATTTGACTGAAGCGCCTAAAATGTCGTAATGAACTGTAACCCAGAGATACTCTGATGAAATAAGTTGACAACATACGTATTAGTGGGAACGTCTACATCGGCCTCATGGAGGTAAATATCACTGTTCAGCTCCACCACAGTCCGATCTGACACCCATCCGATTCTTCACTCTGTGTTATTATTCTAAGATAAAGAATTACCAGCCATTGTTCCTATTATTCTGTATTGTTTTGTACACATCTGTAAGTAATTTTACTTGGTATTTTTAAGTTTTCTAAAAACTAATTCTAAGGTAGAAAGTGGTCTCTTTAGTCTGAGTTTACAAAATCCCCTTTTTCCCAGAATGGATGGTCACAGTTGAGATGATGTCAAAGGTGGCTGTTCTTGGGAATGGAGTCCGGAGACTCCCTGGCTCTGAGGGACTTGTGGGATATTTGCTGTTGTCCCTTCCTCCCATCGAGATTGTTGATTTTAGTTTAACTTTGTGGCTCCATGTTTGAATTGATCAAAGTACTATATTTTTTTGTGGTTTCATCCCTCCTGTTCTAATGTTAAATTACTGTGTTTACTTTTAAAAAAATGACTTCAGTCTTTATGTGATTTACTTTCTTAGTTCTGGTAAGTCTTCTTACTCTGCCCATAATTTTGGAAATTGTCAGCATAGTTAGTGATTACTTTTGCTCATTAGGAATTTATATTTTTGTAGCCACAGAGGAAAAAAGAAGTAATAGGAAATTTTTTTTTGGTGTTTCACCCACTTTGTAGACCAGGCTGGCCTTGAACTCAAAGAGATTCACCTGCCTCTGCCTCCTGCGTGCTAGGATTAAAGGCGTGTGCCACCACTGCCCAACCTTAATAGGAAATTCTAAGAAAACACACTCATTTACACCTCACTTGTTCATAGTCAATCACTACTAAGTTTGATATATAATAAAAATTATATATTTTAGTTTAAATAATAGATTATTGTCTTTTCAATATGTGTTAAAAAATTTAAGTCTAATTTTATTTTACTTTTTAAATATGTTCCCTCTTTAGAAACCCTCTGAGCCTAGATCTTACAAGTTCATGTTAGGAAACCACTGGACGGCGTTGAGTGCCTTCTAGTGAGTGCTGTGAAGTAACCCAGTCACCTTATAAAACTTAAAAGTATTTATTTTTATCTCAGTGGTTGCCGATCTGATCTGGGTGGCCAGTGGCTCTGTATCCCTCATACTTCTCATGCTTTTCTGTGTTCATCTCCATGGGAACTATGAAATAACAATCCTTCAATGAGGACTCCATCTGATCTTTGCCCTTTTACTGGTTGATTTTTCTTTTTCTACTGACGTCAGTCTTCTACCTTCAGTAAGTAAAATTGGGTGTGCGTGTTAAGGAAGTTTTGTAGTCAGTAAATGCATCTTATTTTCATTAGCTTATTTCATAACTCAAGAAACAGCACACTTGAAAGGTCAATAGTTACAAAATCAGTATGACTTTTTGTAACTCACTTTTTCCACCTAACTATACTTGATTGCTTAGTTAACAACAGCAAAAAAACCCCAAAGTCTTCATTTCAGATTGTTTTACATAGACAAATTATACAACTCCGTGCATAATAAAAGTGCTCTTGCAGTTACATTGCTGTGTGTTGATGGTTTGTGAGCGACTGAATCGCAGACTCATATTTCACCAGCTGTCATTAGCTTCCATTTAAATGTTTTCTATGTAAGATAAAACTACAGTTCAACCATCCTACTTTATACCTGTGCATTTAAGGTTCTTGTAGATTAATCTCTGCTGTGACGTGAATGCCCTTAGCAGTTATTCTTCATATCATCTGGTCAGATGGCACCTGCAGATGGCACATGTAGGTATAGGGACAACCTCCAATAAAATCTCAATTAGACACTGGAAAAAGTTGTACTTATTTAAAAGTGGTTTACTGAAAATGCCTTTTCTGCCTTTTGGGTACAGATACTTGTTTTATGGATTGTTGTAGCCATTTAAAGTTATTATTCTTTTAATAAATGTTATCATAGTTGCTCTTCCCATCTCTTCATTACACTCTTAAACATTATACCTGGTTTTCTTTCTTTCCTTTAAAAAAAATATTTATTTTTAATTGTGGGTGCCTGTATGTGTGTGTTTGTATGTATAAATGTCTCCACTTTTTTATGGGTTCCTACAGGGCCCAGGAGAGGCTGTCTGATTGGCCAGAGCTGTAGTTAAGTTACAGGAGTTGTGAGCCACCTGATGTGGGTGCTGGCACCTCAACTCTGGTCCTCTGCAAGACCAGTACAGTCCCCCGGCCCCCTTTGGGAAGCGGAACTGTACTTTTGATCAGGAGGGTGCACTAAACACGGAAGTAGAGCAAGCACACAGGCAGAAAGTGTACGTAGAGCAGTCACACCTGCAGGAAGTGCACTTAGAGCAGTCACACCAGCAGGAAGTGCACTTAGAAGAGCAGTCACACCTGCAGGAAGTGCACTTAGAGCAGTCACACCAGCAGGAAGTGCACTTAGAAGAGCAGTCACACAGGCAGGAAATGCACTTAGAGCAGTCACACCAGCAGGAAGTGCACTTAGAAGAGCAGTCACACCAGCAGGAAGTGCACTTAGAGCAGTTACACCGGCAGGAAGTGCACTTAGAGCAGTCACACTGGCAGGAAGTGCACTTAGAGCAGTCACACAGGCAGGAAGTGCAATTGGTTTTGTTCTAAGGCAGGTGGTGACTGCATCTTCTCTCCATTTACCAGGGCCACCTACAATCTTTAACAATTGGCTAATTTTAAAAGGATGGGCACACAGACGTGAAGGAATGCAGGAAATAGTCACTTTTCAGTGTTAACACGGACCGTCTCTCCAGCCGCTATCCCTGCCTTCCTTTAACTCTCCAGCTTTTCAAGTCTGACTTTCAAGGGTGACTGAGTTATTTGTGGTTGTCGTCTCTTTATGTCCCCTAGTTTTACGCTTCTAGCTGATGCTCCAGAACAAATGCTTTTAAAAGGAGTATTCCGTTCCATGCTGTGAGAGACCCTTGCTGTAGATCACTGCTCAGTGGGATTGTGTACGTGGACTGCAATTTTGTTTTTCTTAACAGAACAGTGGAACTTGGTTCATTAGTTTAGAATACTTTCTGAGAATTCAGCACCCACCTTTATGTTAGAAGTATAAGTAGCTGCCATCCTGAGCGGCATAACATAGGGTCATATAAAACTGTAATGGAGCACATTGCGGGACTGAAGTTTAATTCTGGTGTCTGAGGAATGTGCTAACGTGAGCGAGCCGAGCTGTTGTCTTGTGAAGTACAGCAGTGCACTGGAGCCCCCTCCCTGTTAGCCAGTATTACTTGGCACCTTTGTTTTTAAGGACATTTCAACATTCAAATTCAAACATTTCATTTGAAGTTAAAAAAATTCTTTTTATCTGTAAGATTTTTATTTATCTATTTATTTTTTATTATTTTTTTGATATAGGGTTTCTTTGTGTAACCCTGGCTGTCCTAGAATTCGCTCTGTAGGCCAGACTGGCCTCAAACTCACAGAGATCTATCTGCCTCTGCCTCTCAAGTGCTGGGGTTAAAGGCATGAGCCACCACCGCCCAGTGGTAAGTTGTAGTAAAACATATAATTTTTTTTTTATTACTTGTGACTCTTAGTTTACTTGGGCCTTTTTAAGATGGAAAAGTAATTTATGAATCTGTAGGTTAGGTATAATGCGGTACTTAGAGCATAATATATATTTAAAAGTCAACAAATAATACTTTGTTTTCATAAACTTGCATGTCTGGGGCATTGATTTCTGTCCGCCTGCCTTCCTCCGTCCTGCTCACATTGTAATAATGTCCATACGTTGATATTTAGGAATCAAGGATTAGTAGGAAACAGATGAGTAAATAAGTAATGACAGTAAAATGAAATCGCTGAACACCTAGAGGATGGTCAGTGAGATTTTTCAGAGACAGTGACATTTGAGTGTGAAGCTGATGGGTTAGGGGAAGAAGGCACAGGAGTGTGACCTTTCAGCGGGAGAATGACGTGTGGAGAATAGACCATTTCTCTATGGCCATAACGGGATAAATTTACTGAAGAAATATGTTTTAGAAAACCTTAAATGAACCAAGTTTAAGAGAAGACTACCCCTTCCTTAACTGATAATCACTGCTGCTGGCACGACTAACTGAGACTGGATGTATAGCAACCTGTTACACGTGGCAACCTGCCGTAGATAGAGTCATGAATAACACTGGGGAAAACCACCAGAACTTCCCGTGGCCTCCTGTGGACTGAGCTGACAGGCTGGAGTGTGTGGCCCTCATTAGAGCTCATTCACCCACACACTGAATCTCAGGACTTTGGCTGACTGAGCAGTGGTGAAGAAGTGACACCGACTACACAAAGCTTTCAGAGTTGCTGGAGGAAGAGGACCTGATTCCATCGTTAAGCCCGGGGTGACTTAGCTGCAGCCCAGTTGCTACCCCTGTTTGACAGGTACACAGGGTTTCCTTGGTGAAAATACTATCATCTTCAGCAACCGTGGTTCTTCTATATGCAAATAAAAGAAAAGTGTTAAAGGACATGAAGAAGGAAAATTAAGAGCCATTAGAAAGTACAGCAAACTCAGAGATGAGCCAGATATTTGTATTAACAGATGAGAACTTCTAGAAAGAACTCTCTAACTAAATTTTTTGAAGAAAATCCTATACCATTAAAAACAGTTGAGTTTGTATGCTAAGTGGAAAGTATGGAAGAACCAAATGAAAATTCTAGAAGTATAAAACTGCAATATCCAAATAATTCACTAGAAAGGTGACATAGTTAGATCTTGAGTGTCTCCCTGTTAAAAGACTTGTTCACTAGTAAGAGGTCTTCCAGTCATTAGAGGCATGCCCTTTCCCATCCCGTCGTCATCTCGCTTTGCTTCCTAGGTGCCAAGACATGTGCACCAAGATGCACAGCTCTGCACAAGTCCAGAACCCCTGGACCAGCTGACCGTGGACTAAAATCTCCATTGAAGAGTTAAAGTCAATTTTTAATCTTTTTAAGTTGGTTGGCTTATACATGTTGTTATGGTCATAGAAAACCCCCTATCCAAGAAAGCTGGTGATGCGAGACAGGGTAATCACCATCACTATGCCTGGTAAGCAAAAGGTTTTAGAATTGGTTCTGAGGAGCTTTGAAACATTTGGAGGATTGTGCTAGACAAAGTCTAGAATGTTGTAAGTGGTCTTCGAGGAGTGAAAACCAGAATGCTGATAGAAATCGAGATGGTTCAGCAGTTAAGATCATTTATTGCTCCTGCAGAGGACCTGAGTTGTCAGCACCCACATGGTACTCACAACTGCTCCAAGAATCCAGTGCCTTTCTCTGGCCTCAAGCACCTGTACTCACCTGCATCTGTCCATCCACAGACACACACATACATGTAATTAGAAATCAATACTAAGAAAAACAGAGTACATTCAGTAAAGATGATGATCGTGTTGTTTCAGATGGGATTCTCTATTGGCAGTTGAATTTAATACCATCTGTGTAATACACTGGCCAAAAATTTGGTTTCCTTATTCCCATGCCCTGAGATTCTGTGGAGAGTAGAGTTTAAAGGTGGTCAACAGTTTATGTGGTAGAGGAAAACTGAAGGGAACACAGATTTCAGGCAGTGGCAACGTCCTCTGTATTTACACTGAGAAATGGTAACAATAGGAGAGGGAAAAAGAATTGTACACCTTGCAGTGTGGCCAGAAAAGCACTACATTGAATGTTTTGGCCTAGAACGGCGTGCTTACTAGGAAGGTTAGCACTGACTAAAAGACCAGCAGCCCGGGAAAGACTAAGAAACCAACAAGGCAGCAAATGAAGTTCATCTTAAAGGCTTCCCAGGGCTTTTTAGAAGAGGCCTGGGGCCGTTGCTCACTCTGACTATCCAAGCCCAGTTGGCAAGACACTAAACAACTGCAATGGCTGTGTTCTTGGGTGGCCCAGGGACAGCTTGTGCTGGTAGAATCTTGGCAGCCCCCATGATGCTGGTTTTTAAGCATGTTGGATGGAGGAGTTACAAGGGTCACACAAGCATCTCCCATATTTCTTGGGAGGTGTATTCGTTGGAGTTCTCCAGAAAAACGGAACTCATAAGATATATATATGGGATTTATTAGAGTGGCTTAGAGATTATGGTCTGAGTATTTCAAGAGTTGATATCTCCTGATATAAAATCCAAGTATTTTGCAGTTTAGTCCAGCAGGCTGGATTTTTCAGCTAGTCTTCAGCATACGCAAGAATCCTGAAGAAGCAGGCTCTTATACCAGTGAAGGAATGAAAGTGCCCTTGAGAGTGAGTGCAGGCAGGCAAAGAGCAAGAGCCTCCTTCATATTGGTTCCCATCAGAAGGTGTGGTCCAGATTTAAAGTTGATCTTCCTATCTCAAAAGACGCAAATTTACGATGAGTTTTCCTACTTGAAATAGGAAATTCAGTGAAGAAAAAAATCCTCTCAGATGTACCCAGATGTTTGGTTTTAGTCAGTTTCATATGTAGTTGAGTTGACAACCAAGACCAGCCATCACAGGAGGCCAGGCAGCATGTAGCAGTGTTGGAGTCCTCCACAAACAGCACCTGACAGTGTGATCCCTAATGAAACCAAGTGAAGCCAGTGCTGCTGTGGAGACCCAGCCAGGTTAAGATGAAGCCAGGGATCAGATAGAAGGCAGGGGAAAGGTGTTTTAAACAGTGATCATTTCTAAGAAGAAATAAACATTTGGAAGAAGCATCCTTTAGTAGGCTATTTGAGAAGATTCTATAAGCATGTGATATTTAGACTGATATGAAAGTTGATAGTGGAGTTAGTGTACATGGGTTTGGGGAAAGAACATTTACAAAATTCTGAGATAGAAATAAATCAAATGTGCTAGAGGAATACAAGAAAGGAGATTGGTAGGAAGGGAAATGACCATGGGCCAGGTTATAAAGGGCCCTGTGTGCATTATCCTTCACCCTCCCCCAGTTTTTCCAGTTAACTTGTGTTATCAATAAGTGTTGAAAACATCAAGCCCTAAACTAATCCTTCATATATCGCTTTATGTCACTAATCTATTTAATTATCACATTAGCTTTTAAGATTCTTTGTCTATCAAATTTTTTTCCTTTTTAAAATATTTATTATTTTGTTTGAGAATTTCATATATGAGTACTGTATTACATCATTTCCACTCCTCCAACTCCTCTTGTGACTCCCCTTCTCAACTTCATGACCTTTGTGTGTGTGTGTCCACCTCTGAGACCATTTAATGTTGCTCATTTATGTATGTTTAAGGCTGACCAATTAGGTGTAGATAATCCATCATGGGACTCATCCCTGGGGAAGACGGAGGCTCCCTCCTAACGACCATTGATTGCCCATCTAGGAGTGGGGCCTTGCGAGAGTTCCCCAGTCCGAGTTCAGGTTATCATTGTGCAGGTCTTGTTTGGGTGACCTATTGTTAAGATGTCATGGTGCAGCTCTCTGTCATATATACAAGACACTATTCTGCAGCAGGCATCCTAGTGCCTAAGATCTTTCCACCCCTTCACTGCAGCGTTTCCTGCACCTTAGATGTAGGGATTATATTGTAGATGTTCATCAACTGAGAATGAGTGTTCATCGACATTGTAGTCAGTTGTTCTCTGCATTTTGACCAGCTGTGGATTTCTGTGATGGCTTCCATCTGTTGAAAAAGAAGGTTTTGTTGAAGTCACAGAGCTGTGCTTATCTGTGGGCATAAGGCTAGGTATTTAGAGTGAAGTTGGGTGTTATAGTAGTTTAAGAACATGGCAGTCGTAGGTTCTCTTCTAGGACCCATGACATTACTAGCCACAGTTAGTTAGCTAGGTTTATAGTACCAGGCATGAATTCATTCCAGTTAAGTGGGCCTTAAGTCTAACTAGGAGGCTGTTAGTGCCAAGCTAGAAGTGAGTTTATTGTACCTGCAGGTTACTGGTGTCACAGATGTGCAGTCCCAGCCTTTAGGCCTAGTGGCACAGGTGTGCATTTAATCCTCCTATTCTAGTTTCTAGCCCTGGCTGTGTGTTCACTGAGTCAAGTGAGGATAAGCTAGACCTGGTGTCACAGGTGTGCAGTCCCAGCTGCTAGGCCTGGTGTCACAGGTGTGCAGTCCCAGCTGCTAGGCCTGGTGTCACAGGTGTGCAGTCCCAGCTGTTAGGCCTGGTGTCACAGGTGTGCAGTCCCAGCTGCTAGACCTGGTGTCACAGGTGTGCAGTCCCAGCTGCTAGGCCTGGTGTCACAGGTGTGCAGTCCCAGCTGTTAGGCCTGGTGGCACAGGTGTGCAGTGCCAGCTGCTTGGGAGCCTAGGGCAGAAGGATCACAATTCAAGGCCCCTATTCCATACGGTGAGTTCAAGGCCAGCTTGGGTAACTTATTAAGACCTCGTCTCCAAAAGTTAAGTGAGGCTAGGATAAGTCTGAAATAGATGGTATCCAGTACTTTTTAAAACACCAAGAGCTGGAGAGAGGGCTCCATTTTTAAGAGTACTGTCTGTTCTTCCAGAGGATCCAGGTTCGGTTCCCACCCAGTATCCACATCACAGCTCTCAACCTTCCCTAACTCTGGTTGTAAGGGACACAGACATCCACACAGTCAAAACACCCAAACGTATAAAATAAAAATTAAAAAAGCAAACATGCTTCTGCAGATCCAGTGTAGTCCCCACTAAAATTCCATTGACGTTGGTCACAAACAAAACAAACAAGCCAGTGTCGGAGCTCTCACAGTGCCTGTCTTCAGATTGTCCTGTAGAGCGCTGAGGACAGAAAACAGTGCAGTACTGGCACAAAAGCAGATAGGTAAACCACTGGTTTGGGTTTTTCAAGACCAACCCACAATGTAGTCTAGGCTGGCCTTGTACTTGCCACAGTCCTCTAACCCCATTCAACTTCCTCCTTGCTTGGATGACAGGCATATTTCACTACACCTGATTAATTACTCTGTTCTGAATGTTTGCTTTTGAAGATGAGGTAAGTTAAACAAGATAACTAGGTGATGTTTTAGGTAAATATTTTAGTGGCATGATAAAGGTTATTACACATTCTGTGTAGTCTCATATCACATATATATTGTACCTTAAAATGCAGAGTAACCAACATCTCCAGATGGTTTGACTATCAGCAGATTCTTAAGATTACATTCTGGTGACGCTGTGTTCCTCTGCAGTATTAAAATTACTCTTGTTCAGTCAGTGGGTCATGAGCAGGAGAATCTCACAAGGTGTTAGTTTACAGACATGACCCTTCTTTGGACCTCCATACTTGGAAGAGGATTGTTCTTAATAATAGAAGGGGTTGATTACAGATTGTTTAGAGATTTGCAGTTTCTTCCACATCTAAAATGCTTTCCTCTTGTCTGCCAACAGGTACTACTGTAACTGCTCTAAAGTTGTTTAAGAATCTCCCTGTAAGAAAGCAATTTTACTCAACTGCTAAAAAGTGTAAAGATGAGCTAAAAAATGTACAGGATCTCCTCATAAGCTACGGTGTCCTTAAACCTGGCACAAGGATTGTTTTTGTACATAATAAGGTGAGCATTCTTATATTGTGTAAGAAATTTTTATAGCAATACAATGAAGAGATGTTATGTCCTGTATAAATCAGTTGCATGCGTGCCATGGAGTGGACATTTGTCATATCCCACAACCCTACTTTGTTTGTGGAGAATCTTATCACCAGTGTGAAGACAGTGGAGGTGATTAGGTGATGGGGAAAAGTCCTCCTAGATTGGCCGTTTCCATCTTCACCAGAGGACAGGGAGAAGGAGTCGGCCTTCATTAGAAGCAGACTCTGTTAGTATCTTGATCTCGGCTTTCCCAACTCTCTTAGTTATGAGAAATAATTTTCTTTTGTTTACTTGTGCAGTTTGAAGTTGTTTTTTTTTTTTTTTTACCAGCTCAAAGATGAATTTATATAGCTTTTTTTTCCTTTTTAACCCTCAAAAAATTTGGTCCATGTCCTTTCAGCTTTGTCTTTAATGTTAAAAGAGCACTGAAGACTTATGGGAAGTCTACTAGACTTCCAAACCTTACACTTTATATCACCTGCCGTCAGTGATTCCCACAGACTTTCAACTAGGAACAGCTCTGGGGTAAAGGACAGCCCTTCTTCCTGCTTTGAGACCTCACCCTGGAGCAACATCTCTCAGCTTCCAGAGTTGCTTAAGATTTTCTAAAGGCCACTCTAGCTCATTCCCTTCTGTTTTTCAAAGCAAGACCAATTAAGTAAAGGGATTTGTCTTGTGTAACAAATCATGGGGGAAAGAAAGGTTTCTATCCTTTCTGGACATTTGCTCTCCTTTATTCCACGTGAGCACATTGGAACAGTCAGTGGACGCAGAGCAGATCACACAGTGGTAGATGGGAATGGGGACTTAACACTTCGTGCAGATCTGCAGGCCGCCAGGGTCTGTGGGCACCAGGTGCCTCAGTCTGTGCCGTCCTCACTGTGCACGCAGATGAGTTGGCAGTGTACCGATCTGCAGTTACCCTGTGGTCTGAACTCAGAACGTTAATGTGTCCCTTAGAGTTGCGCAGTGGTAAGGGCCGAGGCGGGGTGGCGAGCCTGCCGTTCCTTGGAGTGCCGGTTCTCCACACTTTCCTGTGTTCTCTTCCTGTCTTCCCTTGTGCAGTTCCTCTTCATGCTTTAGAGTCCTTGAGGAAATGGAGTAAACAGTACTACCCGTGTTTGTATGAGGAGCTTGAAGCTCAGAACGATAACAGAATTCTTTCAGATACTTTAGTGAGTGACTGTGTTCAACCACAACCTTTAAAATTATCTTTTAGTATAATATTTCAGTATTATAGTATAATTATATTATTTCACCTTACCTTTCCTCCCTTCAAATCCTCTCTATACCCCTCATTTCTGTCTTCCTGGTGCATGGCCTCGTTTTTTGTTTTTTTTAATTAATTGTTACATACATATATGTATGTACATATATATTCCTAAATACATTTGCTCCAGTCTTATTTCAGTTTTTACAAACTTGTCAGCAGAACCTTTATCTTTATGCCATGTAAAATGTTTATGATCAAAATCTTTAGTCATCTTAAAAAAGAAAAAATTAAGAAGAGTCAGCCACCTGTTCCTGCTGGCAAAGGGCTCTACCAGATGATACCTTGAGACTGTTCCAGCTCCGCTGTGCTGAGGCTCCTCGGGTCGTTGATGGATGGAGGCTCATCCTGCTAAAATAACCCTGTGACCTCCGATCCAGAGGACATTTAGTAATTAGAAGTTAAATGTCTCCATGTTAAGAAAAGATCAAGGTCAAGAGAAACGTAGTCCAGAAGGGAGAGCTGATTAAAAAGTTAAGATACACAGAGGGAAAAGAATTACATGTTCATAAAATAAGCATGAATGCAACCAAAGATAATAATTTGAAGAGAAAATAAAGGAGAGGTAAAAACAGGAAGGTGAAAGTGAGCATAACAGAAGAATTTGATCATATGAAGACTCTTACTCATTCAGAATTGGGAATATGTATTCTGAGTTTTCAGGTTTATGCAGTTTTCTCGGCCAGTGTTGAATTATCAGAATAGGCATTTTCTTCTGAGAATGGAAAGCAATATTTTTATAATATGCTATATTTTATTAATTGGGGGGGGGAGCACAGCATCAGAAATTGCTTGAAGCAAATTCAGGTCCCTCTGTGGCCTTCAGTCATTTCAGGAGCAGCTCAGATGCTAGCATGTGTGTTGAGCATGTTACACCATGAATGTAGTAGGTAATTACCCCAAGTCTAATAGTAAAATTGCCAGCTATTATAACCATGATCATGGACTGCAACTGCACGGAATAAGCTTCCTGCCTTCAAACCTGTTTCCATCAGTATACTCAACTCCTCTCCTTTTTAAAAATAGTACTATAGTATGCTTCAAAAAAAATGTTAAAACACACTGTTAAGCCTTCCCCAGGGTACTGACATGTTCCCTCAATCTGCACACTGAGCCCTGCTCTGCTGCCGGCTGTTCTTTTAAACACGCTTACTTTCATCCCTGTGTTTCTGTGGAGAAATTTGTCTGTGTCTAAAATTTGAGTATAATGATATTAATGTGTTTACTTTTTCTGCATTAGAAGCAAATAATCATATTGCACATAATATGAGAAGTACTCTTGCTATTTTGATAACTTGGATTAGCTGGTGTTCCCTCTTTTTATGAAGGTTTAAGCTGCCAAGACATTCTCTGAATACTGATAATGTTGATGTTCTTGCCAGTATGGTTATGTTAGAGAGAAGTATTCTTCTTCTTTCATCACCACGTTCCTTGAAAGCGTATTGAATAATGAGACGGCCAAAGTGGGTTCAGCGAGTTTATTTAAAGTCGATATTGTTTGGAGAATTGCTAGAGCCGTTCTGACATGAGCACTACAGTTGTGGGGTTTAGTCATAAGAGCTAAATGCCTGTGCAGTCTTGCTCCATGTGTTTTCCTATAAATTATTTTTTTCTCGAATTAAAAAGGCTTTTTTAGTCTGATAACATTGGAATCCCTGATTATTGCATATGAATAGAAATAATACGTAAATCACTACTTTAAAATATGTTATATTCATGATTTCTAATGAGGGCTACTTCCACTTTATTATTGCTAATTTGTGAATACTTTTTTTTTCCTTTTAAAAAATTCTTCTCACACATACAGTACATCCCAACTGTAGCCTCTCTTCCTCCTAACCGCCCCCCACCTCTTTTCTCCTCCAGATCTGTTTCCCTTCAGAAAAGAGCAGGTCTTACAGTGATATCAATTATTATATGGTAGGAGACTTTCTTATCTGTTCCAATCTGTTTGGTGTTCTGTAAGCTTCTTGTGCCTGTTATTATAGGTAAGTCCTTCTTTAGGTTAGGAAATTTTTCTTCTATGATTTTGTTAAAATTATTTTCTAGGCCTTTGAGCTGGGATTCTTCTTCTATTCCTAATCTTAAGTTTAGTATTTTCATAAGTGTCCCAGATTTTCTGGATGTTTTGTGTCAGGAATTTTTTAGATTTAACATTTTCTTTGGCCAATATATCTATTCTTATATCTTCAATGCCTGAGATTCTCTCTTCCAGCTCTTATATTCTGTTGGTGATACTTGCATCTGTGGTTCCTGTTCACTTACTAGGTTTTCCATTTCCAGGAGTTCCTCAGTTTGTGTTTTCTTTATTGCTTCTATCTCCGTTTTCAGGTCTTGAACAGTTTTATTCATTTTCTTTGACTGTTTCTTTGTTTTTTCTTGGTTTTCTTTAAGGGATTTACTAATTTCCTCCAATTTCTTTTTTTATCTTTTTCTCAATTAATTTCTTTAAGGGATTTATTCAGTCTGCCCCCCAACCCCCCGCTTTCTTCTGCCTGTCCTAGAGCTTGCTCTGTAGACCAGGCTGTCCTGAACTCAGAGATCTACCTGCCTCTGCCTCCCAAGTGGTGGGGTTAAAGGTGTGTGCTACGACTGCCCAGCTAGTCACTTCTTAAGGCCAACTTTACCAGGACAATAGAGGTCCTTAAAGAAGAAGTGAATAAGGAAGGACCTGTGCCATCTTCATAACGTGAGTTTGAAGGTCTTTTTCTTGTGCTTCAGCTGTGTTGGAATAGTCAGGGCCTGCTGTGGTCGGGTAGTTGGCTCTGGTGGTGACATATTGCCTGACAGTTATTATGTTCTTACACTGGAGTCTTGGCGTCTAGGTTTGTGGTGATTATAGGTCTAGGTGCCAATTTCTGGGTTTGTCTTTGTTGGATACGTAGAGAGGTATTTTGTTCCTTAGTTTCTATTTCCTCTCTGATCTTCTGGCCAGAGTGGCCTGTGGTTCGTGGGGGGGGGGGGGGGGATCGTTACCCAAGTTTGGGGGTGGACTTCTGTTGGCTGACATGGTCTCTCCTTAAACATGGGTTCTCCACACAAATTGGGAGCAGGAGTTAGGGTAGCCTGTGTGCCTCTGATCTACCAGGGAGTCTCTGCTAGAGTTGGAGGCTGTTACAGGGTGACAAGGAGGGGTGAGAGAACTGGGGATATTGTTGGGGTGGAGCACCAAGAGGGTGGAGGAGTTCTGTTGTCAGGAAGACAACCTGGAATTCTGGTGGCCTGTATGGCCCCTGGTCCAGCAGAGTGTCTTCCTGAGCTGGTGGCTGGGATATGGTGCTGGGGAGGGTAACTGGGCATAGGGTAAGCAGCTTGCCTGGTCTTCTGGCAGGGGTGGCCTATGATTGGGGTGGGGTGTGGGTTTCATCTGAGGGACCCAAGAGAATTGGAAAGGTTCCACAGATGGCAGCCTACCTTGCAAATGCTTTCTTTAAATATGTTTGTATCTTTAAATTTTATTTTGAATTTAATTTTTGTTTAGTTTTTACATTTGTGGTGATAGAACCCAGGGTTTCGTTTCTTTCTTCCTTTTTTATTTTATTTGTTTATTGTGTGATATATATACATATATACACAGATACATATATATGTATGTATAGATAGATAGATAGATAGATAGATAGATAGATAGATAGATAGATCGATCAAATACTCTACCACTGAGTACATTCCAGGCCCTGAATTTGGTTTTATT